AGCTAGCAGCTAGAAGTGAGAAATGTGTTTTCATTGGTTACCCAAAGCAGTCTTTTGGATATTTGTTCTACAGGCCTAGTGAAAACGTGGTCTTTGTAGCACGAAGAGGAGTCTTTCTTGAAAGAGAGCTCATATTCAAAGAGGACAGTGGGAGCACTATTGACCTTGAAGAAATTCAAGATTCAGCCAATGAAGGAACCTTAGATGACACTAGCACTCAACCAGAGGAAACAGTTCCTGTTGAACCAATCGATAACTCATTACCTCTTAGAAGATCCACTAGGGTGAGTGTGCCACCTGAGTTGTATGGTTTTCATATTACTTCAGATGGTGACACATTCATAAGTGACAGAACACTGGTAAACTTAGATGAACCAGTCACTTATAAGGAAGCAATGGCAGGCCCAGAGGCTTCCAAGTGGAAAGAGGCAATGGACAGCGAGATTAAGTCCATGTATGACAACCAAGTTTGGAATTTGGTTGATAGTGCACCAGGTCGTAAGACAGTTGGGTGCAAATGGATCTTCAAGAAGAAGACAGACATGGATGGAAATGTGCACACATTCAAGGCTCGACTGGTTGCAAAAGGTTTCACTCAAACCCCAGGGGTTGACTATGATGAGACCTTCTCGCCAGTGGCTAAGATTAAATCTATTAGGATATTGCTCGCCATAGCTGCCTTTCATGATTATGAAATCTGGCAGATGGATGTCAAAACTGCTTTCCTTAATGGGAAGTTGGCTGAAGATGTTTACATGAGTCAGCCAGAGGGTTTTGTTGATGCAAAGTTCCCCAATAGAGTGTGCAAGCTTGAGAAATCCATTTATGGATTGAAACAAGCATCTCGCAGTTGGAATCTTTGCTTCCATGAGAAAGTCAAAGAGTTTGGTTTCTCTAGAAGTGAAGATGAGTTCTGTGTGTATATCAAGGCTAGTGGGAGTATAGTAACTTTTCTGGTGTTGTATGTCGATGACATATTACTCATTGGTAACGACGTTCCAACCTTGAAAGAAGTTAAGTCTTGGCTTGGAAAGTGTTTTGCCATGAAAGACCTTGGAGAAGCTGCCTATATTCTTGGGATTAGAATATTGAGAGATAGAAAGAAGAGACTAATTGGACTTAGTCAGAGCACATACTTGGATAGGGTACTAAAGAGGTTTAGTATGGAAAATTCCAAGAAGGTAGAGCTACCTATCCAGAGCAATACCAAATTGAGTAAGACTCAATGCCCGAGTACAGATGTTGAAATAGATGACATGAGTCGTGTACCTTATGCTTCCGCTGTCGGATCGATCATGTACGCTATGACATGTACTCGCCCTGATGTGGCATTTGCTTTGAGCATGGTCAGTCGCTATCAGGGAAACCCAGGTAGAGCTCATTGGATAGCAGTTAAGAATATACTCAAGTATTTGCGAAGGACAAAGGACTGGGTTCTTGTGCTTGGTGGCAGTGATACTTTGAGAGTAGATGGTTACAGTGATGCCAGCTTTCAGACGGATAGAGATAACTTCCGTTCTCAGTCGGGTTGGGTATTTTTACTGAATGGAGGAGCAGTTACTTGGAAGAGTTCCAAGCAAAATACGGTGGCTGATTCTACTTGTGAATCAGAGTACATAGCAGCAAGTGAAGCGTCGAAAGAAGCAGCTTGGTTGAGGAACTTCATCGGGGATCTCGGAGTTGTTCCAACCATCCAGGAGCCTATAGAACTATTCTGCGATAATGAAGGAGCGGTTGCCTTGACAAAGGAACCGAGAGATCATGGTAAGACCAGACATATCGACAGAAAGTACCATTTCATCAGACATAGAGTAGAAGAAGGCCATCTTATAGTAAAGAGGGTGTCATCTGAAGATAACCCAGCAGATCCTCTCACAAAGGGTCTGAGTAGGGCTAAGCATATTCAGCATGCTCGGAGCATAGGACTGAAAGATGATATTAGTTTTAGTAGTTAGATTAGTTTTTGAAACTTGTAACAAAGTAAATGTAATTGACTTTTGGTGATTAAATAATAAAGTATTATTTATAAGTTTGGCTACTACCTTTTGTCAATTGTTTATTATTGTGTTTCATTTTTGCATGTTTTACTTCCTGAATAATGAGATTATTCAAACTCCACAGTCGCTCGTACTCTTGGAAGTAAGTAGTGAATTAAGACTGTCATGAATTGGATTGCAGATTGTCTAAGGATAGACATGGCAATAGAATTGCTGCAATGTTCATAAGTACTCAGAAATTGAGATTTGAGTATTGGATAAACCCTCGCTCAGAGTATCACTTCATGGAATTCATCACGAGTAATACTGAGACGATAATATCTTATAATCTTGAAACGAAGATATATGAGTTGTAATTTACAAAGTCGGTAATACATTGGTGATACGAAACCGCATCAGTAACTTGGTGTTATAAAACGTATTGTCATGTATAATTTGATGAGTAAAAGATACAAGCATATGAGTCAACGTTTATTCGTTCCTTTTGCCCTAACAGGAAAAGCGATATCTGTGGGCCCCTCGATGATTTGGTGTTGACTTATGTGCTTGGGCCCAGCCAGGACTAAATTGATGTGTTCAATTAGAAGTCCTACATCATCACAAATCAGGAATCGGGAAACATAAATTCTGGACAAAGAGATTGATTACATTCCATGTCTTATGTCTAGGGATATCCAGCAGAACGAAGGATTATATGATCACTTATCTTAGGACACGTAAGTGACTGGGTCAGAGTTCGGCAGCAGCTTTTGGAAGCTACAATTTGCTGGTCAAATTTAGAAGGCATACTAGCAATTATAGTTACAGACTTATCCAAGTGGGAGACTGTTGGATTAGGTGTCTAAGCCCATAACTATAATTGGTATGTACTTGAATTGATAGCAGCACAGTCCTTTTGGGTTGCCCTCAACCTAGCAACTGGACAAGGAAATTATGAAAGGAGAGATATTAATTTATAAGATTAATAAATTAATATATATATATATATAAATGATTTATTAATATGTTAATGGATTAATATATTAATTAGAAATCATTATGTTTAATTAATTGTTAGCCAGAAATTAATCAGAATTGATTTTGGGGTTAAAAGAATTAATTATAAGGTGCAGGGACTAGTTTGCAATTATCTAATAGTTGAGTGGAAGGCTCTAGAACCCCCTTGGAAGAGGGTGGACGAAATCTTTAGGGGAAACCCTAATAATTTCGTCCATAGGGGCTTGGATAAGGCCCTTGGGTTTGCTTAGGCCCTAAGCAAAGGATAACTAGGGTTTCCCTTAAACCCTAGATCCCTCAGCTATATAAGGAGCCTCCTGGTTCATGTTTTTGGTCACTCTTTCTTTTGAAGAAACCCTAAGGCCGAGATTTTGCATACTCCCTCTCCCCTCTCTCTTCTACTTTCCTTCTTGCTAGTTTGGGTGTGATTCCATTAGAGGCATTACACTTGTGGTGCTAAAGCTTCCAAGAAGATCAAGATCAAGACCAAGGGAATATCAATTGTTTGCTATAACAATTGAAAGGTATGTAAACCCTAAACCCTAGTTTGTTAATTTCGAAATTAGCCTCTCTCCTCTAGGGTTCTTGTTTTGCAATTCAAAGTTGTATGTTCAATAGTTAAAACATAGATCCAAAGTAGGTTGCATGTGAACTTAGGAATTGTTTCTAGTTTATTTGTTTTACCTAAAACCCATCAAAAAGGTGGCAGTCGGATTCGACACTGGCGGCGGCGGCTGGGATAACTTCTTATGGAAACCTACTCGACGAGTTGGGGAGCCTCAACTCACCGAGTAAGCTGGAAAAAATGAAACCCTAATTTCGGGGTTTTGCACCCTATTTAAACACCTTAACCCCAAGGTGTTGGCCTCATCTCCAGTCTCCACTGCCCAAAACGCTAATCTCGAAACCCTAAGCCATTTTTGGTGATTGTTAGCTAATCTTGTGTGTTCTTGTTGGGTTTGAAGAAGAAGAAGCTAGAAGGGGACGCAAACGTTCAAAATCACATAGGAAAATCAGATTGTATATATTATGGTGTCTGTGGAGGGTAAACGCCAAAGTTTAGAAAATAAATGAGATGAAAATCACATTTTAAAAAGTTCAAAGTTGAAGATTGAGGAACTAAAAATAATATATATATATATATATATATATATATATTATATATATATATATATATATATATAATATTTTCAAACGTTCAAAGTCTAGGACTGAAAATAACATTGTATAAAATAGATGGTGAAAAATATTATTATACAAAGTACAGAAGTGCAAAACGTAGTGAAAACATCCACCCTTGTGGCCATTGAGGTTCGCCTGCAGTGACTCTAGGGAATGAGACAAAGTTTCATTTTGCAGCGGGAGATTAGTCGGTGCGTGAAAGCTGGCCCGGGCCGGAAACTCTCGTTAGAGAAGTTCCCTTTCCAAAAAAATAATATACTCAATTACTAGAAAAAAAAATAAAATAAAATAAAATAATAATAATAAAAAAAGACTCCAAATGACTTGGTCCAACGCCGTACCACAAAAACTACAAGAAAAAAAAGAGTACTTAGAGGGACAAATTCGCTGCTGTGATGTATTAGTTAAACCTTCAACGACGATGGAATTTATTTTCCGCTTGTCTAAAACTTGGCAAAATACATCCCTAATAGTGACTGACATTTCCATAACTACTATCCATCGATGTATTTTTTTATTAAGATTTTTTTGTGAATTTACGGCAGATTAGCGAAAGGTAATCCACCGCTAATTTTAGATTTTATTTTGTGTCAAATTTCACGTACAATTCATTCAAAATGGGATAGAAAGTGTTTCTCATGAAAATGTGGTGACAAGTAACACTTCCCTTTTAGGTCATTAGGTGGAACCTCTAATGTTGAAGACTCCAATCCAAACACCCTTTAAAACCACGCAAAACAAGTGACCATCAAATTGACTCATTACTAGCTCACCCGAATCTTATATCAACCTAACCCTCGCATTAATCAAATGTATCAACTCCTAATGATCAACAAACTCATCTCTTTCGTGCGTTCATATTTCAGTCCACAAAATTCACATCCAGCCGAGAGTCCAGGCAGCCATGGGTTGGGTCTAGAGGACAAGTCCTGTTGTGTATGCCTGTTAAGGCTCGAGAAGGCTAGAGATGAAGAAAGGCGTGTCCTTGCTTGTGGGCATGAGTTTCACAAGGTGTGTGTAGATAAGTGGTTTGATGAGTGTCGGAAAACATGTCCGGTTTGCCGGTTTTCTTTTGAGGATGAGGAAATGAAGACCAGGAAAAGCCAAGAGTTAACTGCGGAGATGGCGATATGGTTTTCCTCTTTTCATGTTGCTGGTTACATTTAGGGAAAGGATGGTCAAGGGAGTGAAAGGAGGATGCAGGAAACTGTAACGATCAATTTGAAACATTATAAATGAACTTTGGAAATTGTAAGTATGTGATCAATTTTATCCAAAACATGATTTTTATTTTTTTAAACTATAGCTCTTTTGATCGATACAATAAAATTAAAAATCAAGTAATCTAACAACTCAAACGCACCTTCATCTTCCATTCCATTTCCATAATATAGTCAGGTTACAAGAGATATCCCGAAAATTAACGGAGTAGATAATTGCAAGGAAATTAAAATCTCTCCATCTAATAAAAAAGTTCATTTCGTCCACGTGCCATCTCCTCAACCCGTCCCAAGCTTCTTCCCAGCCAATAAATTTTCAAAATGAACTTGTGAAAATGCCTTTCACCCCTTAAAAACCCGCATGCCATTAAAAGTTGAAGATTTTCGGCCCTACTTTGATTGTAACTAAGATAGAGCTTAGGACCCCACTTGACCCAAGATATTTCAGCAAAATAGAAATCTCGATTCCTTTTAGTTTCGCAGTTAACCTACGCAAGCCACAAAAACCATCAACCAAAATTGATTAATTGAAAGCGACTGTTCATCTTCATTCTCTTCTCATTCTCAATTCTTGAACCCGAGTCTGAGGGGGTGGTTGGCTTATTCATAATTAGAAGTTGAACTGTGGTGCTCTCACAAAATATTTTCAATGGTTTATTCATTATTTATTGGTTTTTGCTTAAATTTTGTTTTTAATCTAGTGCAAACATAGAATTTCAATGCTATTTGGGCCACTTTTTGGAGCTGTTTTTTAGGAGGTGTTCTTTTATGGCTGTATTTTAAGAGCTCTGGATAACTGGGTATTAGTATTGCTGTTTTTTCGAAAGTACGTGTGAGATTTGGAGAGCTCATTGATATTTTGAGTTTGTCGTTATCTGGTTTGTTTGGTTGAAGTCAGCTGGAGGTTCACTACAATTGTTTGATTGATGTTTACCTCAGCTGGAGGTTCACTACAATTGTTTCAGCATGTTTTTTAATATATTGTTTGTTGGGAGTTTAGTTAGCTATCTTCAGATCTGTTATAGATTTGTTGTCACTTTACTTATAGAATTTATATATATATTTGTATATGGGGGGGGGGGGGGTTGTTTCATAACATTGACAAAATAAAACCAACTAGAACAAAATTTTAATTAGCAGCATTTGTTTAAATTTAATAAAATTATACGGACTTCAACTCATCTTTAGTTAGTAGCATGTGTATACAATTGACAAAACTAAAACAACTACACCAACTTTTTACCTATATAAACTTCACTGTAAACACTCCAAACTCACTCAAGACAAATGGAATGGTGTCGGCCTTGTTTCGTGGGGGCATTATTTTGTTGTCTCGCCACAAGCATAGAAAAGACCTTGTTTTGTGGGGGCATTATTCTATTTTCTCGTCCCAGGCATAGAAAACCAATGACCGGCCCTGATTATTGACGATTCAAGTATGGATAGAAGAAGAGTGTTTGTAATTGTAACATCCTGTTTCAAATTGTCCGTGATTAGGGTTCGTGGGCTGCAACCGGGCATGAGGAGGTCTCGGGGTTGCGACGAGTTGCTAGAAGCTTAGGGCAATCTCGTCACCTTCCCGTGGGTTTGAGATTCATTGGAAATTGAGTTATATTGAGGAAGCAATGGAAGTTTGAAGTTATGGCAGGATAAGTCCTTTAATTGAAAAAGGTGGCAGCAGAGTACGCTGGGCGTACATGTGTGTACGCTTAGCGTACTCATGTGCGCGAGTTTCAAGCAGAGCCACCTAGTACGTTGGGCGTACCAGAGGGTACGCTGGGCGTACTATGCCCAGAGTGAAAACCCTAATTTAGGGTGAGTCCCCTCTATAAAGGATATGATGGCCTCATTTCTGGCCACCATTCTCAGACATCAAACCCTAAGTGTGCCCTAACCCTCGTTTTAGAGCTTGTGAGTGCATTTGTGAGCCGTGGAGAGTGTTTGTGTGTTCTTGAAGAGAAGAGAAAGCTTTGGAGAAGAAGGAGTGGGAGTCCAAGCTCTTGGATCTGAGCAAACCTGAGTTGGGAGCTTCATATAGAGGTATAAAGCTTCAAACTTTACCACTCTTTTGATTTGTGCATGTTATGGTCCAATTTAGGGTTTTTGGTCCGAAAGCTTGAAGCTTTATGAGTTTTTGCACTCCAGACCCTAATGTTGGTCCTTTGGAGTGTTTCTAGAGGAGAGGATCCATAAAAATGAGGTCTTGGACGTTGGTTTCAAGCCATGCATGAGTTATGAGCTTTTTAAGATAAGAGATTCGGTGTTTTGTGTATTTGTGACCATATCAGTCATGCAAAGGCTTGAAGTCATTGACTTTATGGAGTAAGAGCTGTTAGGGAGTCTAGATCTGAGAAATGAGCTAAGGTCTTAACGGGTTAAGACCAAGAGGATGGACTAAGCAAAGTTGGGCGTACGCCCCGCGTACTGGGTTGGTGTCCCCGATCAGTTTCATGCATACTTGTGTACGCTGAGCGTACCAAGGGAGGCACACCCTGCGTAACCCCTCTGTGAGCTTTTGGGATGAATTTATTATTGGGCCCTAAGGGTTGGGCCTGAACTTTTGGGCTTGTGTATTAGTGATTTTGAGCAGAGAAATATTATATTGGGCTTTGGGCCATTGAGTTGGGCTTGCCTTTTAGAGGGAGAGTTGGGCCTTGGGAGAGCCCATCTATTATTGGCCCTTGGTGGGCCCAATGGGTTTTAGGTCATTGATGGGCTGGTTAGTGGACTACCTTTAGACCTAATGAGTGAGAGTTTGGACTTATTTCCTAATTGGGACAATTGTGGTTTGGCACAAAGTTAGTGGTCGGTGCATGGCAGCAGCGTTTATAGGGGTTGTTCATCATCGGAGGTGAGTCTTCTCATTATACTTACCATGAGTGGTATCTTTGTGTGACTGAGATGTCTTATGTGTTTATATTGAGTACTGTCATATCCTGCATTATGTCTATGTGATTTATGTTGTGTATTATTCTGAGTTACTGAGTTAGGACTGGAGGGTCAACATAGTTAGGACCGGAGGGTCGATCAGAGTTGTGACCGGAGGGTTCCACTGAGACACATTAACTGGAGGGTCTTATAGAGTTATATCCTTGAGTGGCTAATGAGCTGGTTGTGGTATTTTGGGGAACTCACTAAGCTTCGTGCTTACCGTGTTATGTGATATGTGTTTCAGGTTTTGTCAGGAACGCGGGAAGGCGTCGGCTTGATTGTACACACCAGAGAAAGAGTTATATTTTGAGGATCCTATATTATTAATTATGGAGTTGTGTTTTTTGTAAATTAAATAAATGAGATTTCTGTGAAACGCGTTATGAGATTTATGTGAAATTAAAATGAAAAATTTGTTTGAAAATTTACAGTGTTACAAGTTGGTATCAGAGCCTTGGTTTGAGGGATTCGGATGTGTTTGGACTCAAACTGAGGATTTGAGAAAAATTTTCAAAAAGAGATAAATTTTTCTAAAATGAGAAAGAGTTTAAGAGAAAACGATTTGGAGCGGTGTGTACAATCAGCCAGAGCCCGAACGGTGAATTCCCAAAATACCCTTACTTATTTGTGTTATGAGTTATTATTGAGATATTAGTGATGCATGCTAGAAGATAGGCTAGGTATTTCATATCTTAGGGCTAGAGTTGCCCGATTTGTGATGCCTTAGCCTAGGAATTTTGCTACTTGTGATGTGCTTTGAGAATGTGCGGAGTAAGAGTATCCAGCAGGAATCTTTTAGAGAAACAGAGCATGAGTAGAGGAGTAATCTAGAAGAGATACCTAGATGAGCAGTGGAGGAGCCTACTAAGAGAGTAGTTAGATACATGCGTGGGGTAGAGTTGCTTGAGTATGGTGATACCTTTTGAGTGTGAGTAGAGCAAGTAGAGTGGTAACCTAAAGTGGTTTTACGTGTTGGTAGAGATTATTCGATGCCCGACTGCTGCTTGCTTCGTGCTTTGTGGAACTCTTGATGATGGGAGTCAGCTACTAAGTGAATATGACGATATTCAGGAGGTAGATGGCTGGCATCATAAGGAGTTTTTCAGCAGCTGATGGCAGAGAAGTGAGGGAACCTAGGAAGAGCCTAGGGAGTGGCCTTAGTTAGATGAGTACGTTGATAGAGGAGAGTAATCGCTGGGAAGCAACCAGAATTAGCGGGATTGGTGGTCGATAAGGTTGAGGAGCTATTTAGGAATTTTGGGACGATCCGTGTGAAAACTACGGGTAGATGTGGCAAGTAGTATGGGCTCGTACTACTGAAAGCAGATGACACGTACTCGAAACAGGGAGAATACCAGAGGTTCTAAATAGCAGAATGAGAGGAGATAACATGGTTCGGGTACCATGATTCATAGCAGATTGAGAGGAGAAAACATGGTTCGGGTACCATGATTCATAGCAGATTGAGGGGGTGAACACGTGGTTCGAGTACCATGATTCGCGACGGTTAGAGCTTCTGGTTTTACCAGTTGTCCCATTGTGGTTTGATTAGTTTGAGAAAAGATGTGATAGGAGGAGGGGCTAGAGGGCCATGTCGAGCGAGTTTTAATGGAGCATACCTGGAGAGGGAAATCGAGTTAGTTTTGAGAGATTTTCGTTGGTGAGATACCAGTTGGAGTTGCAAGACACATGGTTGAGTAGAGATGAGACTTTATGGAGAATTGCGGTCCGAGTTGAGAAATCGGCCGATAGTTGAGATGTCACTTTCTGTGACAAGAGTTGCGTTGTTCCCGTTTCCTGGGAGAAGCAAAACGAGATTTTGAGTTACCGGTTTCAGAGTTGGAGGTGAACCCCGTGGGGTAGCATAGGGTTGCAACCTTTTCACCAGAGTATTTGGGCAGTATGTTTGCTGTGAGGTATTTCCTTATACCACGAGAGAGCTATTACTGGAGACTGAGATGAAGACAAAGAGATTCCTTAGTCGAGTCAGGCATGCTTTTAGCAGCGGTTGCAAGT